TATATATATATATATATATATATATATATATAATTATCAAAATAGATAAATAAAGGGGAATATTCTTTATGCGTTTAATTCATTGTCCAGACACATTAATGAAATATGATACATGTGTGGTTTATATTCGAGTATGCGTACAGTGTTTAGAAGCTCCCTTACTTTGAACTCGGACTAATATCATGACAGAAATGAAAGGTGATGAAACCACAACATGCGAGTATTTCCGTGAATGCAGAAAAGGCAAAAACTATATATATATATAGAATTTTCAATCACTTTTTTTTTATTGGACAGATTTGTGTTTAGCAAGTTTTCACCCGCTGAATTCGCTATTTTTTATTCATTGAAGCTCAAAAATAGTCACTTTCTGGAAAGCAATATCTGCCATTTCGATCATTCTATATGGTTTTAATTTTTCATTGGATGTTTGTTTCCCTTAAAATGTTATATATAGTCTTTGGCTAAACTTTTTCCCCAAAAACAAAAATAATACAGAATCTTTCGATATGACAATATCTTTTGTTGCCCCTTATTTCCCGAACATCACATTGGAATAACCAAGGGCTCAGCTTGCACACCACAGGCAGTAAAGTAAAGAGGATTGTAAAAAGGTGTTTAGGCTTTAGTTAAAAATATAGATTTTTGAAAATTTCTCCGGCTGGTTTATCAGTCACTTTCTCAACACAATGTACAGATTTTATACCCCCAATGAGGTGCGGCAGCATGCCTTCAGTGATGATGCTTACGTTTCACTCAATGAGAATGTTCTTGACCTCACACCCCTTATCAAGTCCTATAAGGCCCGTCCCAAGTTTGCGCATCTGGTGATCCCTCTTGTTCGCGCCGCTGGCTCGGACATTTCTCATTGGTGGGATCCTATTTCTGATGATCTGAAAACGTGTGTTAATGTAGTAAGTGGTATGCGTACCTATGCACAACCGGACGGACTCTTTCCTCACGTCCCTACAATTTTTCCAGACAGTAATATAGACCTTGAGTACGACATTCCATGGTGGAAAGACCCCCAATACATTATTGGTAAGCTCACCAAGAAGACGAGGCTGGTGCGTATCATTAATACCCTAACAAATGATGAGATTACACTAGAGGTCTGCTGTGAGGAGACGCTACTTAATATTCTAGAGGAGCGGTACTTGACTTACAACGCGCATGCCAGAAGCTATACCTGGCGGCGGTTGGTACCGGAGCCGCATGACCTAGACATGGAGCTAACTCTTGATGAAAATGGCATCATGGACGAATCCGAAGGCTTTGAGAAACTAGGTCTTAACGCGGACTATTACATCCCGGCTATTCATCTCTACTATGATGATGATTTGACCATCGCATGAGGCGATATAAAATTTTCTCTGGTTCGATTTTTTTAACTCCACGAGCGATGGGTGTGTATAGTACGTTCTTTTCGTTGTACACTTAGTGGAAAAAAGGGAGTCAATGTATTCCCTCTTCATGCATTCGTTTGCTTCAATGTAACCAAATAGACATTTGTATATCAATATTTTTTAACTAAGCAACTGAGTATTTATATTAAATATCACAGAGCCGCGTTAGCGTATAACTGCTTGGAAATCTCAGTTTCAAATACTATGGTCAGTTTATTTTCATCTCCTTTACACATACATACATTACTTGAAAGTGTATCACCTTTTTAAGATTACGTTCAAAACTTAGCAATTTGAAAGTTTTTTCCTTTTTACACAAAACTCTGCTTTATACAATCCTTAATATTCTACTAATTTTTTTTTTTAATTGATTCTAAAAAGTATCACCTTTTCGGTTTGGTTATTCGCTTTTTCTAGATCGAAAGTCTGTCCGCATGTTTCGCTTTAATCGTCTAGCTCTCAGCGCTGCCACATTAGGGGTTCCCACCCCGCGACTCAATGATATCAACGATGTCTTTAGGACGGCCCAGAAGGTCTGGAACGTGGACTTTAAAGGTGGTCCGGCCGCGACCCAAACGCTAAACTTTATCTACAATCGCTCCCCGGCGGTTCCGGTCTTCCACATCATGGACCTGAATGGAGGCACCTCGTTGGAGAATGGACTAACCAACCCCCCCGACTCCGATCACGACCCCTCGTTTCACTTCACGCCCCAGGATGAGGAAAGCCTCATCCCGCGCCCGGTGGCTGAGCGTATACTGCGCACGATGCTCATTCAAAACGCCATGGACAAGGTCCTTCTTGAGGCCCAGCGGCAGGGACGGATTAGCTTCTACATATCCATGTTCGGGGAGGAAGCGGCTGTAACAGGGGCCGTCGCCGGCCTTAGTGACAGGGATGAGCTCTTTCTGCAGTATCGTGAGGCAAGCGCGTTACACTATCGGGGTTACACAATCAAAGACGTCATCTCGAAGTGTGTTGGGAACATCGAATGCAAGGAGAAAGGCCGGTCGATGCCCATGTTTTACGGCTCTCGATCAATTAACACTCAGATGATAAGCGGGCCCCTGGCTACGAAGATACCCCACGGGTCTGGTTCGGGCTATGCATTTCGCTTGGAAAATGAGGAACTGCTCAAGGACCTACCCCCTGGGACAGACCTCGCAGAGGTACCTGAGGCGCGTATATCTGCGACTTTTATGGGCGAAGGCGCTACGAGTGAGGGCGATTTCCATGCCGCCCTCAATTTTGCCAGCACGCTGGGTTCGCATGCGTTATTTTTCGTACGGAACAACGGGTATGCCATTTCAACAACGACTCAGGAACAATACTGCGGCGATGGGATTCTGTCGCGAGCCGCGGGCTACGGTATGCCAGCAGCACGAGTGGATGGCAATGATGTTCTGGCCGTATATAATACTGTGCGCATGGCGCGAAATATAATCCTAAGATACAACATACCGGTCCTCGTGGAGTCCTTTACCTACCGTGTGGGGCACCATTCCACCTCTGACGACAGTACCGCTTACCGAGAGAAGGACGAGATAGATTTCTTTATCCGGAACATCGACCCGATCAAGCGTTTTGAACAATTTATGATTCGCCGTGGCTGGTGGGACGCCAGTCAGTCCAAGAGTTTGATGAACGAGGCTCGAAAGGATGTGCTAAATGAGCTACGCCGGCAGGAAAAGTTGCCGACATGGCCAATCGAAACATTGCTTGATGACGTTTTCGAGGATCTTACTCCACACATCCAAAAAGAGAAAAAAATGTTGGTAGAACACTATCAGCGACACAAAGCACAGTATGACACTGAGAAACATTAGTTATACTAAAAACGAAACGACAAAAGAAGAATACGAGAATTCATAAACTATCCAAATCGATAAGTTAAAGTTTTACAAACCGTTTATTTAGTATCACTATAGTATATCTATAGTGATTTTCGATATTACAAATATCTTTTAGGTACAATTTATACACGTCTTTACTTCCGTTTTCACTAACTAAAGTATAATCGATTGTGTCATTTTTTTTCAGCGCTCTCTAAGCATCATAGCATAGAGTGGTAAATACGAACGGTTTGCTATTTTTGACAAGTTTTTTTTTCACTTTGAAAAAAAAATGGCAGCGTGATTTAATCTGTATTTTTCTCTAATGTTCAGGTTTATTTTCGTAATTTGAATTCTTAATATCTGAAATAATCTCGAATCCTTGATCCAATGCACTGTCTTCTGTCGTCAAAAAGTGGAAACCGTAGAGTAAACCAACGAAAACTGTGGAAGGAAGGACTTCTCATATATTTCTTCTGAGGGTATGTAATTTTGTAGTTAGAATGACAACACGCCACCGCGGTTTGGCATTCAAGGCTCTACTACCACGCATACCGCGTAATTTAGCAGTCTTCGATGGGCATTGTTTGCTATGCCAAGCCCGTGTCCGTTACGTTCTCGAGCGGAACTTTAACTATCTTTCAATTACTTCTTATTTGGTCGGAAACACGGAGGACACGAGTTTGGAGCGACATCAAATTTATTTCACCTCTTTCGACTTATTAGAGGGGAGTGAGCTCAAGCGTCTTTTTTTTCCCACCCCGACCTCACCAAGAAAGCCACCCTTGACCGATACCCCAACTTCGAATTTCCCTTTGTCGCCTCAGCCACTAATCGTGCCGGATGATTTAGTGATTTTGTTTGTTGAGAAAGTAGTCTCGAAGAACGCCTCACTCTTGCGGCACGCAGGTGGGCACTGTCCTCATGGGGACCGAAATGCTCTTTTGTTTTCACCGACTTCTCAAGCCTTATCATCGTCTTTATCTTCATCAATGGCGATTTTTTCCTTTTTGGGACTCCACCGTGGGAAGGCAAAGGACAGCAATCCAATGAACGCTGCCGTTCTCCCTCAACCGGAAGATACGGACCTTCTTGTCTCCACCAACTTCGCGGCGATGTGTCGTATAGGCATGCACCTTGACCGTGTGTGGCTTCGAGCGATATCTTGTGTTCTCTATTACACCATACCGAGACGTTTGGGCGATGCGTGGTTTGAGCGCGCCGTATTGAAGCGTCGGAAGTTGATCTGGGGAGCCTCGGAGGAGGATGCGGTCAAAATGTTAGGCATGATTGACGGTATGAAGGAGCGGCGCTGGTCGTGGCGCACACGATTTTAATCCTAATTACTCAATAAAAAATGCACAAGCTCCAAAAGGATGAATACAAACGGTCCGAGAAAAAAAGGAGGTAACAAAGAGGCCTAGATTAATATATATATAAATATATATATTTCTGATGAATAAAGAAGCCTGGAATTGTTCTATTTTTAGTACGGTTTTGTATATTCAGTGTGTGTGTTTTGTGTTTTTCGAGCTCGAATGGGTCAAGTTGGAGGAAATAGAAAGCGTTCAGTTTGTGATTGTTACGGTGAAGAGTTTCCTTTTTCCGTTACCACAGCAACGCAATCTTTATCATTATTGTCTGTCTCCTTTACTTAACCTATAGCGCGTCAAATCTAACTAACTTTAGTTACTTGAATTCTACTCCTCGTATTTATTCCCCTTTTATGGCAATACCGCTAGCCTTCGGGAGAGGAAGATCGAGGTTCATATGCTTTTACCATCGATCCCTACCCTCTTCATCCCGAGTTTTCATCACAACGGTCTGCTCTTCTTGTATTTTGAGAACGCTGATCACATCCCGACTATCGGTTTCCTTCCTGACGAATCGCATTAGTAAAGCGGTGGAAAAGACGGTTGAGAGACTTACAAAGCGCGTCTTCCAGGATGAAAAATTCGTAACCGAATCACGCCAAAAGCTGGAGAAGGCGGCATCGATGAAGGAGACCCTCGCAGAGCGTTTGGAGCGGCAGCGGGTTCTAGGGATGCGTTGCATTCCCAATGCAATACGCGTTGATAAGACCAAACAGTACATCTATTTTACCTGGCCTGCCGAGATGTGGACCGCAGGAAAGCACATCGCCACCGTTCAACCTTCCGGCTTGGTGACTTCTTCAGCTAGTGCGGAGACCAACCTACCGACGACAGACAAATGGAGGGAGCAGGGAGATGTGAGGGAGCATTCTACCAGCGCACTGGCGGAATACCTGCGGGCCTACACCTCTAGTACGGATGGCAGTTATGCCAACAACAATGTTCTGATCTACGGTCGCCGCGGCATCACCATCCAGGACGTCTTCCCGGTTGGCAACTATGCCATACGTGTCGTTTTCTCAGATGGACACACAGGTGGTATCTTCACTTACGAATACTTGTACTTTCTAACTTGTTCTGAAAATAAGTATGGCCTCATGCGAGATTACATCAAGCGATTGCGAGAGAAACGTAAATCGCGTGATCCGCCTCGTCGGATGCCTTCGCGAAGAGAACTCCCAAAGAGGAATCAACCGTAGATCAAAGACTGCATCATGGGTAGGTGATAATGAGGTGGAATTTGAGATAAATTATCGAGTGCCTTAGGGGGACTTGAAAAGGAGGTTCAATGGCGTACTCACTGAAATGATATGCTTCACTCAATGTATTTTATTTGTTTTTGATGAATGTCAACTTTTTTTTCACACTAGAATCGATATACATTTTTCTAATCAAACTATTCTGTCTCACATCTTTTCTGATCAAAAGTTGTATATTATTCTGATGCTAAGCCTGCACTCAGCCTAGGTAATTCAATCCATTCATGTATTTGACCACCTTCCTTTATATATATTGATATATATATATACGTAAATCTCCTAGCCTGTTCTATTTTATCCTTTCAGGTGATGAACTTTGACATGTTTAAAAAGGAAGAATGAAAAAGAACCGTTTAATGTCAAATTCTACCAATTTGTTCTGGTACGCGGTCCAGAAGCATGAATATTTGGCAATCCTGGGCTTGCTTCTAGAGCAGACGTGGGTTTTAGTGTCAATTAGGTTGATTACTCGTTTAGCAGGTTACGTTGTGATGATGTTATCCATCGGACTCATGGTTTTTGTAACCATTACAATGACCCGTGAGGTAACCCCCGTAATTACACAGCCGAGAACGTGGAAGTATAGCGCTCTCCATTGGACTATAGTTGTAGGATCCTTTAATATTTTCTTTAATTTCATCTCCGCAGCGGTGTTTTCCAAACGTCTGGGAAGAGCACTTCCTTCTCAGCGTTCTTGCTGTAGCATCACAGGGAACTTTCCTAGAAATATAGAAAATATCTCCACAAACGGTGGTTTCTACAACGTTGGTACCTCTCGAGACGATATTAGTTTATCTTCTAAGATCCCTCTTCATCGCCAAGTCTATGAAGATGGGGATGCCAGTAGCGACACGTCATCGAACGACTCCATGTATCCGCGTCCATTCAAGGAGCGCGAATCCTCTTATTCATGCTTCCACGCGTGGTTTCGGCCGTTCCACCCATCAAGGTGTTCTCCCCCTTTGGCATCTGTGGAGGTTTTACGCGAATTGGAGCGTTTGAGTCTTGTCTCGGAGAACTACACACCGAAAGAGCGCCGTTATAAACTGCTTGACGCGCCGCGGCGTCGCTGTAAGACGTGCTGTCGTCTCAAAGCCCCACGAGAGCACCACTGCAGCTTGTGCAATGAGTGTGTGGCGAAGATGGACCATCACTGCATGTTCCTAAATAATTGTGTGGACGTAGAGAACCAGCGCTACTTTGTGCTTTTTGTTCTCTGGCTTCAGGTTATGAGCTTTTTTGTCGTGTGCTGTGCGGGCTATGGTTGGCTACGCCAGATGACCTATGAGCGCCAGCTCAGGCAAGTCACGCGGGAACTTGTTCAGAACTTGGAGATGGATAGCCGCGCCGAACTTCAGAAACATGTGCTGTATCTCCTTCACAATGCCCCGTATGGCCCTGTTGGGGCCAAGCTCATCTCTACTCCAGTCAGTTTATCCATTATGCTGGCTTGTGTGGCAATTATTTTTACCGGACTTTTTAACGTTTTGAATTTTATTCAGGTATGGCGAAATGTGACACCTATTGAAAGTATTACTATTCGTCATAAAAGGAGGTGCGTTTTTTCTATGACAAGCTTCTGGTATCGTAGCCCATACGACTTGGGTCCGTGGCGTAATTTTATTGAAGTCTTTCGCACCGTTGATGACCCCGTCGTGTTATGGGCGCTTCAAAGGACATCTGGGATGGGTACCATAGAAACCGCTTCCAGGGTAATTGGAACCCCTTCACGGTCGCACGACTGTCTAAGACTTCTCATCCTTTGGCTACAGAGAGTCGCAGTAATGATTTGGCTCATGGCAATGCCGACTCTTCAACCGTCTGTGCATGATGGAATTCACTACCCTGTTTATGATCATGAAGTGCAGTACGGCAACGGGCAAACGTTCACCATCTCAACTGGCTCCCCTGTAACCCTCCTATAAGTAGCCAAAAGTTAAAATATAAAAAAGTACACTTCTTAACCCTTTTATCAGATCCCCCCCCCCTACTCTGTTATGCGTTAGCAACATAATTCTCCTCAAGAAAGCAAATATTTATGCAAACGCCTATGCTATGGTGTCTTGCACGATGTCACGACTATTATTTTTTTTTTATAAAAAGAAGTGCTTTGCTTTTAAACGGCTTCTTATACCATAGTATTTTATGCATTTATTTGAGTAGTCTGTAAAATCTAGACTACGAAAAGGTTAATAAAAAGTAGGATGACAAGATAAAGCTTTCTATTCTTGTTTGATTGTGCTTAGACAAATCATTTTGCTTCCCTCATAGTATCCACGTCCTGGGGGACGGATTCTTATAATTAAAGGAGAAGACGTGTACCGCAAAAGGGAGCGCCCTCCAGAAGTGTCGACTGAGACGATGCTGCTATTAATTACGAATGGGATCTTCTCCGCAATTTTATTTTTAGTGGTTGGATTTCCACCTTTATACATCAATCGATGTTTTTCGCCTGAAGAGGACGCTCATTCACCCTGTATAAATGAGATCTGCTCCGATATTACTATCAGTAACCTTGTGAAGGAAAAGCTTTATCTTCTAGTTTCTATACCCTTATGTGTGACGGCTAACTGCATCTTTCTCTACTTTACCTACTATCGGTCCATCCGATTTATTCAGTTCCGCGTTGAGAAAAATATTCTTTCGCTATGTGAATACAAATGCGAGGTTCAGAAAATAAGAAATGAGCTAGATGGCCATTCGTCGGGAATCAATCGTTCTTCAATGTTGAATCTCAAAAGTTTACGTGGTGAAGTTATGTCTCCCATACAACTACACAACCTTAGTGCAACTCAACCTAAAGACAGCGAGTTGAACGCACCCAATACTGTCAGAGGCGCTAACATAACTTCGATCTTAAGTTGGCGTTCACGTGCTGAATTTATCCGATACTCTAGACCAAATAATGTTAAAAAGGACACTTATGTTATCCCTGTTATCTTCCGGGAAATTCGAGCGCTTTACATTGAAGTGGAAAACATATTTTTTACGTCTGCCATGATCGCAGAGAAAAACTTTCTCATTGTTAAGTATAAACTTGTGGACACGGCGGAACCACAGCCTAATGTCAATTTGAAGCCAACGAAGACTTCCAAAGAGTCAACATCAGAGGATTATTCCAATTCCAAACGTATTCCTGCCCTCTTGCTAGGGGTTTCTGTTCGGAAACAATTACTCTGGCAACAACAAAAGCAACATACGCGCGAGCTCCACTCATACGCCGGACGTCCTATGGGCACAAATGCTGTTGTGCACATAAAACCAACCTCCAATCTTAACTATTTTCACTCGAAGCCTTTAATGCTAACAGATGTGAAGAGCAACGCAAGGCCCTCCCTTGCCTTACACCACAATTCTGATAACCAACTCGACACTGGTAACAATGGATTTGAAGTGTCGGATCCATTATCAACTACGCCTCATTACCCAAAATAATTATACTGACGGTCTCCCGTCAGACTCAACAAACAAAGTGGAGTAAAATGGTCGCTCTCGAAGGGTGATTCTAGATGCGGCATCAATGTTAACTCTGGCACAAATAAGACAAGAAAAAGCCATTGATAATTAAAACTATATTACGTTTTTTTTTTTTTT